TTTAGTACCTCTTATGGACTAGAATTGAGTATGAAGAGAGAGCCTACAGTTCTGTGGTAACTATTAAGTAGCTTCTGACACTTCTGCTACTGCGGTCAGGAAGGCTAGCTACTGAATTATATGTAATCTCCTGTAGGAGCTATTGACTCAGAAAGAGAAACCGAATGTGTCTTCATTATACATACTCTAGAATGATTCCAAATTCCATTCATTTTTAACCACTGACAATCTCCATGCAGTTCAGCTAATGGGAACAAATGAGCCTGGGTGTTAGAGCTAATTGAATAGGTGCCAGACACTGGATTATTACATGCTATCTTCTCAACAGACATAGAAGTAAGACTAGGAATTTCAGTTGTCTCCTACCCAGGGTTATACTGATATATGTACCCTCTCCATCTTTTATTGTATGTGTGACTTAGACAAGTTATTTCTTCTCACTTTCCCTCATCTAAAAAAAAGGGGGGGGTGGGGACGGATAATGTCACTGACATCATGGAGTTAGTTTAAGGATGAAATGAGAGCACGTGTAAATGCTGTTTACTGCGTGAAGCCTGGCACACAGTGGACATTTCAGAGCACCACAATTTGAGCTCAGGCCTGAATCATTGCAAAGGCTACAGTCTTCTCATTGTATAGTGCCACCGCTTGATGGAGAGGACTGTCTCCACTCTGTTCTTTGCTAGGTGCTGCCTTTTCTCCACTCCTCCCTGTTAATTCTGTTTTATTCTCTACAAAAGTAATTTCTGACAACTAGTTTAGACTACGTTAGCTAAATACCACAGGCCTGCTATGACAAACTGTTTTACAAGTTCAGTCCATTCCAAATATTTACATCTGGTTAATACACTTTTATAATGTTATTGTAGTTCTCCTTTTCCAAATTAGTGCAAACAGACGACTCCCTTTGAACATGTGATTGATTTAAGCAAGTGGATGCCCCACCCAAATTTGCCATGCAGTAATGAAGCTGGAACAGGGGACAAGATTTGGGAGACACTAAGAATTGTCCTTGGGTTAAAAGTCCATTTTTAGACCTTGCCTATTTAGCATGTAGAAGATAGCCCAACAGGCATTGGCATCACTTGAGCCACTATTAGAGATGCAGTATCTCAGACTGCCTCAGACCTGCTCAACTACCAACTGCATTTACTGAGATCCCCCAGTTGATTCCTAAGTGTATTCAAGCTTGAGACAAACTTGACTATTCTCCTACACTTGGCTTTAGAACTGTTGGGATAGAGTATAGAATTAAATTGGATATTGTTTGCCTTTTAACTTATCCTCATGTTTTCACTGTGACTATTTGTAGCAATTTTAAGTGAAAGACCTAGAAAACATAGTGGTCGTTTATTCAAGAGATACAGAGCATCCCCTTACCCGCTTCTCTCCCAAACCAAGAGTTAAAGAAATAATTTAGTGCAATGCTCCTTTGGCCGATAGAGTCTACACTATGTTACCAAATTGATCAAAAATCCTGTGAAAATTATGGGTATTTTGAAATGACAGAGGGGAGGTGGTTGAATGTTGCAGAAGATAGGGGTAGGAGAGAATAAGAAACCAAAACAGAAGATATGATTACCACTTTAATCATGGATCACTTTTCTTCTAGGGAATGCCAAATGTGGTGGTGATGGTAGTGGTTTGAATGCCAAATTCTTTATATGTAAGCGTTCAGCTTTCACAATCTGAAAAAAACTTTTAAAGAATAAAATCCAAGGAAAATATCATTATTTACTTATTACTGAGCACTTTATCCAAGAATTAGATTACTGGCAAGATTGAGATTAGGGTTCTAGTTCTCACATATCCATTAAGTTGTTTCTGGTTTTGCTTTGTTTAGTTTTTTAAAACTAGTCCTTATGATACTGAATATATGGACTTTTTAAACAGAAATTGAAAGTGGTATATTTCTTCTTAAAATTTTATTTATCCATTGTTTTATAGATCGAAAACAGTACTACTTTTACTGTAAATGACCTGACTGATCATCTGCTTGCTTACTGTGAACTGGGAAAATTACTTACAGGGATTCTAAGTGGAACACTAACCACATTATTTTTCTTCTTAGATCAAAGGGATTATATCTGTGAATATTGTGCTAGGGCCTTCAAGAGTTCTCACAATCTGGCAGTGCACCGGATGATTCACACTGGCGAGAAGCCATTACAGTGAGTATTTATTTATTGGTGAACATGTGGGTGAGAAGTGCATATCTGCCCTACTTGTGGGTTAGCCCCTATGCAAACAATTTCAGTTGCCACTTCTATTCACTTTTACCAAATCAGAGTGGGACACTACTTAGTGAACTTTTTCTTGTTTCCTTTGTTTTTTAAACAAATAAAAGAAACATTAATTTTCCATCTAGTTAACTTTTTGTAATTTTTCCCAAGAAATGTTACTGACTATTGGCCTATATATGTGACCTCTAAAGTCCTACCCTGACCCTGAAGAAGAGGCCTCTTCATTTCTGTTTGATCAGCTATTATTTCCTTTTCCATCTTCCTAGATGCGAGATCTGTGGATTTACGTGTCGGCAGAAGGCATCCCTTAATTGGCACATGAAGAAGCATGATGCAGATTCCTTCTACCAGTTCTCTTGTAATATCTGTGGCAAAAAATTTGAGAAGAAGGACAGCGTAGTGGCACACAAAGCAAAAAGCCACCCTGAGGTGCTGATTGCCGAAGCTCTGGCTGCCAATGCAGGCGCCCTCATCACCAGCACAGATATCTTGGGCACTAACCCAGAATCCCTGACACAACCTGCAGATGGGCAGGGTCTTCCTCTTCTTCCTGAGCCATTGGGAAACTCCACCTCTGGAGAGTGCCTCCTGCTAGAAGCTGAAGGGATGTCAAAGTCATACTGTAGTGGGACGGAACGGGTGAGCCTGATGGCTGATGGGAAGATCTTTGTGGGAAGTGGCAGCAGTGGGGGCACTGAAGGGCTGGTCATGAACTCGGATATACTCGGTGCTACCACAGAGGTTCTGATTGAAGATTCAGACTCTACTGGACCTTAGTGGAAGGGAAGACTTTGGGCACTGGGACAGCTCAGACTTTGTATTTAAAAGATAAAAAGGACAAAAAAAAAAAAATTTAAAGCATTTAAAATCTAGTAAAATAACTGAAGGGCCTGCTCTTTCCATTGTGGATCACAGCACACACACCTACACCCACCCTCTTCTCCCTCTATTGTCCCCTTTATAAAATTGATGTTGCCTTTACCAAAAAGGAAGGCAAAAAAGAAGAAGCTCTTAAAGTGAGGGTTATCCTCCTCCTCAGTTCCAGTCAGGCAGACTTCCTGCTCACCGGCAGATCCCTTCTTAAACCTGTAACTCTGATGTGCTCTGGATCAGCTTTTAACTCTTGATAGTATATTACTGTCCTCTAAACCCCTTCTCCTTCACTGCTGCCCTATGGTTCTGGCTTCTACCCACTGCAGCACACTTATTCCCAAAGTATCATACACTTCTAATCTCTGGAGGCTGGCAGCTTGACTTGGCACTTTAGGCCCCTTAGGGTGAGCTGTTAAAACAGCACACCTCTCCCACTCACCCCCATTTCCTCCATTCCCCGCTGGGTTTCGGAAAGGAAGGATTCATGGGGACCACCTCCCTCCTTTGTGATCCCAGCACTTCAGTCCCCTTCCAACACCTCCCTCTGGTTCTCAGTGGTGCTTACTAGCATGGAAGCAGGCTCCCAACAGGGAGGGGGCTGCCCTCTACATGGTTTCTCTGGCCATAAGACAGGGCTCTGTATCAGTGAGAAAAGTCCCAGACTAATGGCAGAAATTTGCACTTTGAACATGTGTGTTTTTGTGTTGTGGAACCTGAGATTCCTTATTTATTAACGGAAAGTCTGATTTTTTTTTTGGGGGGGGGGGGTCGTCGTTGCTAGATTTTTGGGGGCTGGGAGAGATTAGGTTATTCTGACATGGGGTCCTTTCTATAAGAGGTACTATTGAAGGCAAGATACAGGATTGAAGAAGCACAGCCAGCCTCTAAAATATAGCTCTCCAGTGGCCTTTAAAGAAAGCTGGTCCTCAGCACTAACAAAATCACTACAGTAGCCTAGTGCTTTTTTGGAAGCCTTTTTAGGGAAGGAAGTTAGGTTTTTGGTAATTAGTGCTCTTTGAGTTTTTAGAGCATTGAGATTTAGGAATTTTGAGGGGATGAGAAGGGTTGTTCAGCGTCTGAATTACAGATAAAAGATTTTCTCTTGTAAATTTATTTTCTTTTTTTGTCCCCATAATTTCTTTCTATACACCTTCCTGTTGGCCCAATTCTGGCCCCTAGCTTTGTTTTTGGTTTTGCTTTGCTTTATCATTGTTTCATTCCAGGTCCCAGTTATTGGAGGACACTGCCATTAGTGAAGAGATAGTCTATGACTCGTACAATTTGAAGTCAAAGAAAATGGCTCTGTTTTGTTTCCTTTTTATAAAAATAATACTTCAGAAGAGGAAAGGCTTCCATAGACAAAGTTAATAATCTGTGGAATATTGGCTTTGGCTTTCACCTAAAATTCTGGAATTACCACATCCATTGAGATAGGGATTTTCTTGGGGGTTGATTGCTTATTACTGGCCATGGGAGAGGCAGGTGGTGTTTTTGTACAAGTTTATAACTCCCAGAAGACTAAAAACTTATTTTGGCAATTTTTAGAGAATTAGAAGGGCAATTTCTATCCTTCTGTGTACCTCACAAGCTGGAGTTAAAGGCTTGCCCTATTCATTGTTTGTCAGAAATGTTGTGATGGCTGTTGGAAAGAATGAAGTTTTGCTGAGAGCAAAATAAGGAACAACTTGTTTTTCACAAACACTAAAACTACAAAGTTTATCAATTTTCTCTTTTATTTTTTCCCAAAAAGAGGGGTAACAAAATGTCATCTCTGAAAGAGGCTTACTTTACACCCACTAGTGTCAGTGGTTGGGATGCCAGGGAATAGGGAGTCAGACACCTACAGTGAATAGACTTAAATGCACTATTGTTTCTTTACAGAGTGTTGCAGATTTGCCATCCCTCCAGTGTGGGGGTAGAAAATGGAATAAGGATAGAAGGGATGTAGAATATGCTTTCCTGCCCACAGTCAGGATTTGGAATTGACTTGGTATGTTGAGTACATTTGAAAATACTGTCAGATTGATTGGGTTTACAACAAAGTTGTTCCACTCTTGTTATAAGTCCATTTTGTACTGTTTGACTAGCTCTCATCTGTACCGCACACGTACCTTATCTTCTCTGTCTCTGTAAGTTGTATTTGCAGTGATGAGTCATCAGATATTTTAACCACCTACACAAAAGCAAACTGCGTTAAGAAAAATTAACGAGATTGAAGGAAAATATGTTCTTCCCATATCACACTCCTCCCCACAAAAAGCAACAAGTTCTAATAACTAGAAACTTTCTGTTCTTCCTGTTTTTTGATCCCTTTATAGGTACCATTTGCCTATAGTTTGCTTCAATAAATTATTATAGCAGTTTGCAGTCAATCTTAAAATATTCTCCATGGACTTTTATCTTTTTTTTTTCCTTTTGAAAAGATGCTAGCACAGTAAAGAGTGGTATAAGTAAGCTGTCTTGTACTAAGCCCTCTCCCCTTTCCTTGTCTGCTTCTCATGTGTCCTTCCAAGGAGCCCTCTTAAAATTCTGCATTTCCTACCCTTAGTCAAATTGTGTTACCTTTTTAATAACTCTCCCCACTGCATATTCTCCATCTTGTGAATTGGCAGTTCAAAATCCTGAAAATGTAATTGACATGCAAGTATTATTTCTGGGAGATGTGCTTCCCCCTAGTCTGTGGTTGCCCAGGGTTATTCTGCATAATTGAGACTTACTATGCTTCAAAGAGTTTGAATAAACACTGGCCAGGATTACTGGGAGTTAAAGAATTCAGGTATGGGAAAGCATCTGCATAGAGCACTTGAACCTCCTGTGTACCTGTTGGAAAAAATATATAAAGAGTCTATTAAACCCAGCCAAGGTTATTAGTCTGATTGTTTGAAGTACCATTTTTCCCCTCCTTCTTTTTTCAGTTTCCAATGTACTCAAGAAAACTGAAAAATTGTAATGGATCAATTTAAAATATTTTATTTCTTGAAAGCCTTTTTTGCCTGTTGTAATGTGCAGGACCCTTCTCCTTTGATGGGAGAGACAGGTAGTTACCTGAATCTAGGTTGAAAAGGTTATGTAAAAAGAAATTATAATAAAAGGGATACTCTGCTTTTCAAATCCTTGTTTTCTCTTAATCTAGGTAAGGCATATCCAAAATAAATATGTAAAGAAGAAAAATAAAAGTTGTCTTCATGGAAGCAACTTGTCTTCCTTGATTGTAGTAAGTTAACAGTTATCCTAAGGGTAAAAAGTTGATGCTGCTGAGAACCCAGTGCCCCCAGCACAGGGTTTATGTGGCAGGTGCTATTACTTCTCTTGGGCAGAATCAGAGGTAACTTCTGACTCATTTTCGTTCTTGATCTCTAATGCTGAGTTGCTATAGGATTCTGTGATCATCTAGTCAACTTGGAAACCCCCTCTGTTTTGTGACAGACTTCTAGAAGAGATGGCCTCATTAGTCTAGTAAAGAAAATGTTAAGGATGCTGTGAGGTTTATGTTAGTCTCATAATGACAAAAACCTTGTTAGCATTTAATGTCAGTGCTTTTTCACAAAACTCAGTGTCCACAACAAGTATTAACTTTCAAAAAAAAATCTTTTTACCTTCTTAAAAGGCCTCCTGTGAGCCACTCACTCCCACTTTTCTCCCCTCCACCCCTTGTTTATTGTTTATGGAAGTTTGCACCTGAGAAGGCATGTGTTTCAATTTAGAGGCAATGTCTATGGCATGAAATAGTGAAGGCTTATTGATTGAGGAGGACACTTAAAGCTCTTCCCCAAGAAGCATCATATTTTAATATACAGGGTTAAGTTGGATGCAACAGAAGAACAATTCTGCACGTGCTCTTAAACTCTTTTGCCCTCATTTCAAAGCCCAGGTCATTCTTGTATGCTGTTAAGGAGCAGTGTGGTATGACTGGGATGAGGAAGAAAAAGAAAAGCATGTTGTCACTTGAGACTGCCTTAAAAATGTTACCCAGTCAGGGTTGGGTGTTTCCTGTCCTTTGGAAGAGAACAGGCCTAAACAGTACCTTCCCCATCCTGTAGCTATGAGGAACGCACCATGATTGAGGTTAAAGATACTTACTTTGCTGATTTTTAATTGAGTATAAATGAAACTACATAACGAAATGATAAAAGTGAAAAGATGCTGTATTTTCAGAGGACCTATTTAGCATAAACTTTGTTTCTTGAACAAAATGTGAAAAACCTAAAGGATGAAATTTCAATGTCAGTGGGAGAATCAGAGACCTATGTTTTGTGCCTGCTTCCTGGATTTTGTGCATATTAGTTAATTTCTTTAAGCCTCAATTTCGTTATGGAAAATATTTATCTCATAGAATTATTCTAAAGATCAAATAAAGGCTTTAAAGCCTTTAGCACAGTGTCTGGCCCAGAGTAGTTGCTTAATCAATGGCAGCTATATTGTTAGTAATAACAATATTCTTGAATACTAGGCCAAGAAGGGAAAAAGAAAAGAAAGAAGAGGACATGAGGAATGCAAGGGAGAGTGATAAACTGATTATGTGTATATGAAGTAGATCACATTAGGCAGGGGTGTCATGAGGATTAGTGTGATAGTGACCTTGTTGCTAAGTGCAAAAGCAAAACAATGACATAAAAACAAGTAGGCTAGGCACTGAGTGGAGGAGAGAGATGGAGGCAGACGCTGCAGGAAAAAAAAGCTGATTAAAAAGGGGCCTTTGATTCCACAGGCACAAAAATCCACAGCCAGGAATTTGCTGCCACCTCTGAGTCAGGCAGGGGGGTGGGGGTGGGGTGCACAATCCCATTAGAAGAGAATGCCCAGTGGATTTAGTCTGAGAGTCACATTTCTTATTTGGACCAGTGTAGACAGAAGCAAACCCAGCTCACTTGTTTCCTGGGACAGTTGAGTTAGGGGATGGCCTTTACAGAGCACTCACCGCTGACCCCTCATCGCCGGGACCTCTGTAGCCGCTCTATCTGGCTAGCAAGGAAGATTCGTTCAGACCTGACTGCTCTTTTGGAATCTTATGTAAGTTGCCTATTTTGCTGTTGTCTGTTTTCACTTGAGCTCTTCTGATTAGCCCCTTAGCATCATGTTCCAACCCCCATTACCAATCATCAAGGCCCTAATCATACAGTCATTCATAGATTGGGCACCTATCATCCGACATGGTTCTTTCCCTTAAACTCCTGTGACCCTGTTTTCTTCTCTAGCCTGTTGAGGAGACATGTTCTTTGAATGAGAAAATAGACATGGTCTTCTGGGTAGGATTGGCTCTATGTCATGGAGGCTATTCCTAATATGATTGCCTACAGTCTGGATTCTACCAGAATAGATTAACTATGGGCCCTGTAAGTGTGGGTTCTTCATACACATTGTTCTGAATTTTTGAGCTATGTAAATGAAAGAATGAGATTTATAGGATTGGGAGAATAACAGCACAAACCCAAAGAATTTCTCCTCTATAGTATTGGCCACCCAATTTTTCATTACATATATCAAGTCTCCATGTATCAAAAGAGAATGGTCACCCACACTATCAAAAAAGGATCCCCTAGAAGATTTACTGGAAACTTAGGGAAGTGTCAAATTGATGAGCTAACCATGGAGTTCCAGATTGGTTTTCTGATGGAGATCCCCATCAGTCTCCACCTAAGGCCTACTATGATAGAAACACTGAAAAATAGTTCTAAATTTAGGTTGTCTGGGAATTGGTTTAGCTTTGTACAGCCTCAACAATTAGAAATCTAATTCTTTAAAGTACCTTTTTTTTTATTTTTATCTTTTTTAACTCATTACCACTGAATTCTCTAAAGTTTTGTCTTCCCAATGAGAGTGGATAATGGAGGAGAGGGGGGTTAGAAAAGTTCTGCAGTGGGTTAATTCTTGGGATTCCTAATAGGCCTGGCCAGTGTCTTCAAGTATGTTTAAAATACTTAAAACTCGAGTACGATTCAAGTACTTGTTTCCAGGAGGGAGTTCAAAGTGGGAAGGAGAAGTTGTAGAGCGTGGTTTTCAACCTTTTAAAATCTAATGAAACCTGCATATTCTCCCACAAAAAGGAAATAGGTAAAGCGGAATGTATAATTTCAGGGAGAATAAAGCCTTCCTAAAATCCAGTCAATGGATCCCAAATGAGTTCCTTTTGGAGATTTTTAAAATTTTTCCAATTTGGATCTCTGACCTGGAAAGTGAATAAGGTCTTAGATGAGATTTAGGGATTAAATGAGAATGTTGGGATAATTACAGAAGATGTGATGTTTTTATGTATCCTTGGCCAGATGAAGCATCAGGGCCTGAACGAGAACCTAAACCTGGACTCTGTGGATGGTGTGCCAATGGCAAGCACTGATCGGTGGAGTGAACTGACTGAGGTGGAGCGACTCCAAGAGAACGTCCAAGCTTATCGCGCTTTCCATGTTATGTTGGCCAGGCTTTTAGAAGACCAGCGGGTTCATTTTACTCCAACTGAAGGGGATTTCCATCAAGCAATACACACCCTTCTACTCCAGGTTGCTGCCTTTGCTTACCAGCTAGAGGAATTAATGATGCTCCTGGAACACAAAATCCCCCCCAATGAGGCTGATAGGATACCTGTCTTTGGAGATGGTGGCCTCTTTGAGAAGAAGCTGTGGGGCCTGAAGGTGTTGCGAGAGCTTTCACAGTGGACAGTGAGGTCCATCCATGACCTTCGACTCATTTCTTCTTATCAGACTGGGATTCCAGCACGTGGGAGCCATTATATTGCTAATGACAAGAAAATATAGCAGTTATCCCTCTTTTCTCTCCTTCGTTATATTTCTAATGGAGTATGCACAGTTCCTGAGGCCTCACTTTCCCATTCTTAAGTTTTGAAAGGTCGACCGTTTTCTGACCCATGAGACCATAGATATTTTCATCAAGCAGAGGTGGAGCCCTGGACAAATGGGCATCCAGGTTTAATCTGGGGTGTGTGTGTGTGTGGTGTGTGTGTGTGTGTGTGTGTGTGTGTGTATGTGTGTGGTGTGTTGGGGCCCTATGGGTGTGGGGGCAAGGGCTGTGTCCTTCCATCTTAGTGTTCTAACCTTTCTACTCACTAAGTCAACTCTACAAGTATTTAACAGCCTTACAGGGTAAACCTATGTTTAACTTACTAAACCTAGATGGCTTTTCTGGGAAAATTGAGACAATGAATTAAAAATCCTGGACTCTAGCCAATTCAAACCCTTGGATAATAAAAAGAAGTAACTAACGTTTATTGAGTGTCTGCTATATGTAGCGATATGCCAGGGGCTTTGTGTATGTTATTTCACAACAACCCTATTGAGGGAAGTAGTGTTATTCCCATCTGGCAGATGAGAAAACAGGCTCACAGAAATTATAACTTGGTCAAGGTTACCCTACTAGCAAATGGCACACTTAAGTTTGAACCCAGATATTTCTCATCCCAAAAGCTATGTGCCCTTCAGTTCAGAGGCCTGATCATGACCCTCTATCACTGCACCTCTTTCCCACAGAGAGTTGGAAAATAGATCCATGTAATCTGTCCCTGACGCTGAAAAAACAATCCCCGTTATATATCCTGATAGATCAGTGGCACAGTAAAGGCGCTATTTTTTGCCCACATTTGGCAAAGATGAGAGCAGTGGAGATCTTAACATTCTGTTTGCGGAAAAGAGTAGACCCACCAATTCTGAAATTGGGAAACTGAGGATGTGCAGTAACACAGCCTGCTTTAAAGCATCCACAAATGTTTTGGGTTGGGCACAGCTCATACCAGCTTACCTCACATTTATTGTGATCAGCAGTGTAGCGATACAGGCACTGTATCCAAGCATTCATGGACAATGGTTGGAATAGTACTCAAGTTAAAATGTCACAAAACTCCTTTACCACACATTCTTTGGACTTAGTCATGTGGATAGGGTGTTTCCAGTGGGAATGCCAGCGATTTTAAAACAATATACAGCACAGCCTCCATGTTTCACAACAAAGGGGCAAGACTGTTTAATGTTCTTGAGAGAGACACAGTGTGAAAGACACCAACTAGTAAATGTGGGCATTAATGGAAAAGGTCATTTATGGTCAGGCCTGTGAGCTAGTGGTGTAGTATAAATCCCAAAGTTCTCAGGTATGAAATTTGACACTCCCAGTTAAAGTCACCATCTTGGATGGAGCACCCAAATCAATTTAGTTTACTTACTTGAAGCTCCCATGCTCATAAGTGAACCATGAATCAGAAAGGGCTAGCACCCATAGGTTGCGTGAGATGGACTGGGGTGACCTAACTAGTGTCTATTTCCCACAAGGTTTTGTGTCCAAAACTCTATGAGGTCAGTGTTAGGAGGACTCTGGGTTGGGTATTGTGGCAGTACAGGGGACAGAAGGCAGTATGCACTTGTGGAAATGAGCTTGTATGCATAGAAGACGTCAATACTGGGTGGAATTGTGAGGCACAGGTTTAAGTGTTAGGGAGTTAAAGGAAAGAGCCCACTGAGAGCCTGACATCCCTTTCTGGAGGAGGAGGAGTTCAAAGGTTGGCTGAGTACCAAATGAAGAGAAATGAGAGACGGAAGAGTTGCCTTGGTTAGAAGAAAGTGAGGTGACAAACATTTGGGTCCCGCTACCACTACAGGTTTATTGTTTGGTTTTATTTCATTTGTAATTTTGGTATATAGCTAGATGCCTTGTCAGTAAATGCATAGAGGCTTATTCCATTCATGCTTTTTCTTAGACTGATTCTTCTGCTTCGAGACCAGTATTTCTCATTGATAAAGTACCTGCTTATTAGTGTGAAGCTCTCAGATTTAATAATCTAAATACTTGTGAAATATTTTAGGCTCTTTCTGTTTTAATGGTTAAAGATGTGACTACATTTCTTAGTGGGGAATACCTGATTACAGACTTGCTGAATCTGAAAGGAGCGACCCTTCCCCGAGTGTGTTTTCATATTCAGCAGATGGGCCAAAGTGGATGTCGGCAGAAGTCTCAAAAGTCAATGGGGGTACAGTTTAAGCTCTACTGAATTACATGTGAAGGAATATTCATATAGAAGAGGCACATTTGAAGCAGCAGAGTCCAGAAAAGATACAACTACTACCATTGAACGGGAGGAAATAGGAAGCTACATAAGTCTCGATGAGGTCACAAGCAGCAAGTCACAAGCAATGAAACTCCCAGCATTGTGCTAAGAGTTGTGTCAGTTTCTTCTTCCAAAAGTTTGCAGTCTGCCTCAGAAGAAGAATGGGGAAAATACTTAGAAAAGTATAGATGAAATAAGGGAGAAATGAGCACTTAGCTCACAGACATGTATGGATCTGAGTGTGTAGACTGCATCACGCTTATCTGAAATGGACAGGACATTGGAGAAGGGACCAACAGTAGGTCCATGTTCTAGGTATGTTCTTAAAATACAGATAGCAATAATGGCAACACTGGAAGTGTGTTTTGTTCTGTTTTTAAGGATCCAGAACCCAAAAGATTTTTTGTCTTTAGACTTTGTTCCCTTGTTTCTTAGGTCTATATATGGTTAGGATCTCTGGGGAATCATTTTTATATACATGTAAACTATAGTTGCATAATATACAACCATAAAATTTATATAGAATGTATAACCTATAACTATATAGTGCTATATATACATATATATTTGTGTGCATATATACGTACATGGCATGTATATATATATGGCATATATACATATAAAAGGCATGGATGTAGTTCCTAACTCGTATTTTGTCAGAGTTATTTCTTCTATCCCACAGCCTGTAGAAAAATCCTCTGTGAGAGAGAGATTCTGTTTTCCTGAATCTGTTAAGGAATTGCATATATGAGAGTTGATAAACTCTTTTTACATTGATTTAAGAAGATTATTTGGAAAAAAACTTGCAAACTGGCACAAATTCACAGGCCAAGCATCCAATAAAATAAGCTTTGAAATAGGTTTGAGGGAAGTGAGAGTTTATTTAATAAAGTCATAGCCTTGGTATTGCTGTCATTTCAGCCTGCTGTGGATTTAGGCCCAATGGATGACTCACTGTTGTGACCACTGGTCAAACAGGCAGAGGACAAGTAAATATTTTAGGGAAATGTATCTCTGAAGTGGTTTAGAATGACTTTATGAATCCTCAGCTCCTAAGTAGCTGAGCACCTTATCTCTCTTAATACTAAAGAGTAAAATAGAACTGCAAGATGCAAAAGGGCTTCCACCAGGGTGAGAAAGTGATTGGTAAAGAGGAAAAGGGAAAAAAGTTTGGATATCCCTTCAGTTGGTTTATAGTGTGTGCACGTGTGTTGGTCACTAGACAATGTTTAGGCCACGGCATTTAAAAAGAATGGTTTGGCCTCCTGCCTCATCCCACCTCTGAATGTTCGTACATTGAAAAAGTGAAAGTGATAAAAAAATTTCATCTTTTCACTCAAAAGCCTCTATAGAGCTCTAAAGCCTACAGATACAGTAAAAGTATAATTTCATATTTTGGTGAAATATTTGTAGGATATGTGGTAACATCCTTGTGCATGTGATTCATATATTACTTGGATCCATCTGTTTTTTGGCAGATAGAAAATAAAAGATGCAAGAATGGCTAACAATAAAGATCTCGCCTCAGCAGGACCGTGAGTTGCTTCTTTTATTTCTGCATCTTTGGATGAGCAAGAGGAATTTCAAGTGATTTCAACATTGGATGAAACGTAATCCTCCCAGCCAGGGCCAGGCTCAGTGGAGCGTGCCGGGTGAATCACCATGATGCCAGGCCACCGGGAAAATCTCCCAAGGCCAGTCAGCCTAGAAAAGGTAGATTGCTCCGTACCTGCCAGCTAGCCTGCAGATGAGACAGATTTCCTTTTGCACGGTTTTATTTCAAGTATTTGAACCCCAGTCAAACTTTTGGAGGACAGCAAAGAACCCCAATTAGCCTATTTCCAGTCTAGTTTGAAGGAGGAATCTAAGCTGGGGAAGGTATGAAAAATGAGGAAGAGATGCTGTATTTTTATCCACAGGTTCAAAGTTGTATGAATACTGCAGTTACTTATGGCAGGTAGTCTCATTTATCCTCTGAAATACTACCTCACAAATGAGGGAAGTGAGGAGGAGCCAGGAACTGCGCCAAGTCCCACCCCCAGCACCTGACAGGTTTGGAGTTTTAGTTCTGGCTCCAAGACCAACTGACTACATACACTCCACTGCCACGAGCCACCTAGCAATTGAGGTCATTTTATGCTGAAATCTGTTCTCCGTCTCCATAATTCATTTTCCCTGGATAAAGCCAGTACAAATTTCTGCCAAATCCTGCTTGGTGACAAACTCTGGTAAGTTTCCAAATTTTGACACAAGTGACCTTTTCCTGAGCTTCCTCATTTATGAAATGGAAATGACAACTAACTTCACAGGTTGACTGATGCTTTAGACAAATGAGTATCTGAAAGTACATGTGAAGGACATGCAAACATCAAGTATATAATGTCTCAGGCTGGATTCAGGTAAGACCTTCAGCTGAGGGGCGAACTCTGTTGAGCATCTCAGAGAAATGCCAGTTGCTCCCCAGAGTCCTGCCTGGTCACAGCCTAGACATCACCCTGTTGTGCCTGTGAGTCTTTGGCCACTAGAGGCCAACCCAAACTCACCAGCAGCTGCCAGGAATCCCGCCCCTCCCTGAGCTGAGACAGGGCTGTTCTCTACAGCCAGAAGGTGGCGTTCACCATAGGCGGGCTCAGACAAGCTCTGGAGCTGCAGGTAGACTGCCCAGGGTGTGTGAAAGCTCGCATGTAGTCTTGGAATCACCTGCCATCTGCCCACACCCTCCTTTTACACAGGAAGGAACTCAGACTAAACCATGAAACAGCACTCCAGGGCTCAAGACATTCTATATTCTGTCCCCGTGTCCCAGCAAGAAAGTAGAATTAGAACTACAATGTGGTTTTCCTGCTTCTCCGTCAGACCAACCTCAGGAGACATCTGGTTGTCGCTGCATCCTTCTCCCTGCCTCCTACCAGCACTCTCTGGCAAACCTTCCTCTGACAAGCCTTCAGAAACTTGGAACAGCAACTCATAACCCAGACTTCTGCCAGCCCAGCCGCCACCTCTGCTATCATTTGGTGGTCCTGTATGTCATCCCTCCCCTGATATGGGAAAAGTGGGACCCAGTTTGAGGTAATGGTTAAATATGCTATTCCTTCCAGGATCTCTGTCATTTGAACAAGGGACCCAGGGAAGCTTTTTAAAAATACATTTCTGAGGCAGGTGTCTATCTTGAGGTCAGACCAGCCCTATGCCACACTATTAGATAAAGGTTTAGAACTACTTTCTCCTCCCAGTGATCCCTGACTCTTACCCCAAAGCGTGGGGTTGGGGGACAGTTGGAGGTCACACAGAGAACTTAGTAGGCTGCTGAAAAAAAAGTGACCAACCTGGTTCTAAGCTCCAAAGCTCAGGCTTTGAGCAGTTTCCTGCCCTGCTCCAACCAAATTCGACAGCGGAACATATTGATGCCTACTTTGGGCCAGTAATAAGGATACAGAATGGAATGTTAATGATAGTAGCAAACATTTATTCACCGTTTTACTCGGTGCCAGTAACCGTTCTAACTGCTTTACATTCATTAACTCATTTATTCCTCACAAAAACTCTATGAGGTAGGTACTGATGGGGTTCAGGGCAGGCTGCCCCAAAATGGGTTGCTTTGGCATCTTATTTTAAACCAGTGCAAGAAGGGCTCTCTGGCCCCTTCTTTGTCCCCTGAAAGCAAGAAATACATCTCCATGGGGAAGTACCCTCCCTGTCCCAGGAGAGAGACCTCCTCATCACCAGAGGGAATTGAGGGCCGAGAAAGCTGTTTAAACAAACCTTGTTATTTCTTCACCCATCTTCTACTCCAAGAGCCCAAACCCCTTGGTCTTATCAATTCTTCACAGATGTGTTTGTCTAAAAGGCGTAAAAGCTGCCTGCTCTGGTCACTTCTTTGAGCTTCATAAATTTTTATACAAGTCTGTATGAAATTAAATTTGTTTTTCTCCTCTTAATCTGCCTCATGCCAATTTAATGATTAGACCAGCCAACAAACCCCGAGGGGAAGAAAGGAGTACAAAGTACAAGGATTCTTAGTGTACAACTGAGAAAACAGGCACAGACAGCAGACAGTTCCCTCTTGTGGTGGGGACAGCTCTGAGAAAGACAACAGGTATATAGCCAGTGGGGACAGAAGTCAGAGAGGGTAAAAACAGAGCCGCAGGAGCCCCAAGGGAGGGAGGAATGGAAGAGAAGGTCTCCAGACAGACACTTTGGGAGCCAGACTTTGAAAAATGACTAAAATTTTGGCCTTGGGAAAATATAACAAGTGGGCAAGAACATTTTGGAGAGAAGGAGCAGCACTAGTCAAGGCTTGGCTGCTGGGAGGCAGGTGGCATGTTTGCAAGTGTTTGCCAGGCCTGAGTGTGGGGTTCTCCACCAGCCACAGTAGGAGTGAGGTGCTGGCACCTTCACAAGAGACTGTCTGGAAGGTATTTTTCAAGAAGGAATCCTGTGGTTCTGTAAGAGATGTACTGGACGTGGATGTGGCCTGGGGTAGAGGGATCCATTAGGAAGATGCTGTCATTCTCAAGGTAGGACATGTTCCAGCAGTTCGTGGAAATGTTAGAGGCACTAGGATGTAGACGTGAACACAACATAATTCCTGATCTTTTAAAATTTGAATTCTGGTAGGGGAAGATAGGCAACACATAATACAATTTAGAAAGGGATAAGAATTATATAGGAAATCAAAAAAGTGCTATTATAGAATTACCAAGAGACAGGGTCATGATGGGCTTTCTCAAGTGGTTATTTTCTCCCGAAATCTGAATGATGAGGAGCTTGCCCCCAGACAACCTGAGAGTCAGTACTGTGGGCACAGAGAAATATCTAGTGCTTAGCCCTGAGGCAGGACCGAGCTTCCCATTCACTTAGAACTGAAAGGAGGCCAACACGGCTGAAACCAGGAGGGACAAGGGAGTGATGCCAGTGCCAAGGCCCTCAGCCAAAGACCAGGAGAAGCACACCTGTGGTTAAACAGGTGGCCTCATTACCTGTTACAGCAAGGAAGAACGAGCACCATGGGAAGCTGTGGGGTATCTCAGTAGGAAAGTGTTAGAACATACTGTAGAGTGAGGCTTCAGCTGGGTGACTCAGGGGAGGGCCTGGGAAAGCAGAGGCTCACTCTCACTTGGATGCTATCAAAAAATGAGTGCAATTCCATGGTTGGGCATTTGGCAGGTGGCACAGGGACCTTGCTTTTGTCGGTGATTAGACAAAATTAGGAAGTGGTACTGTTTTGTTTCACTTACCATGGTATCAGGGTAGCTTTGTGTGAGGCTATTATCCTATGAGATCGTTTAGATTGGTCATGAGCCTCACTGGCCAAGAGCCTCAGACCAGCTTGTAATACTATTGCAGTCCAGCTGTGGACGTCAGTCAATGCTGCGCATCACAGGCTTAATGTTTTCTCTCTCACTAGCAATAAGAGTGTGTGGAAAGGGACCTGGATTTTGTTTTCACTGCTGAACACAGACAACAAGTACACAACGAACTCTGACAGAAGTCAATGAGGGGTTAATATTTCTACATAGACAACAAAAAGCATCTCATCCTAGATTAAAACGAACCCAGTCATAAGGCTGCCCCTGATTTCTGACAGCACCCAATTCAGAGCAAAACTATACCTCGCTATATCCTTCCCTAAACTAACCCAAATC